ACAGGAGGGGTGGGTGATAACATGAGGCCTGGATCTGCTTTGTTCCCATGGAATCCAGCAAAGCGGATCCCCAGTTCGACTCCAGCAGGCACGTCTCTCACCTGTTCCTGCCACATCCACTTTGCCATCAGGGGACAGAGCTAACATCTGGCTCTACTACCTGCAGCCTCCAGCCCCAGAGCAGCTCAGGGACAGGAAGGGTAAACTCTGCCTGGCCTTGCTGAGCTAGTTCTCGGGGCTCCCACTGCAAGCTCTGTGGTTAACGCCTCTGCTGACAGCGGACAGGACAGACTTTCTCTGAAAGTCTGAGTTTCTCTGAATCTCTGAGGTGCAGGATTCTCAGAAACCCAGTGGCAGCCTTGCCACACACCACTGCTGTGACGCTGGGTGAGTCACACACACGCCCAGGAACAAGCCTCCATATTTTGTGACAGGGTGAGTTTGGTCCCTGGTGCTGGTGCTGCATGGTAGATGGAAGCACAGAGGCTGCTGCGATCATGCGGAGCTTGTCACTTCCAGGAGCTGGAAGCCACCCAAATCCTGCCATTCAGGTGCTGGGGGAGGGGAAGTCCTGAGGGGCAGAGCTTTGGGGCTGTCTGCACACATGTGGCCACATCAGCCCAAGGCTTTGCCTTCCCCATCACCAGCCCCCATGGGGAGACTGGGAGGAGTTAATGCAGGTGACAGCCAGACCAGGGCCTGGAGTTTGACAGGCTTAATCCCCTTGCAACACTCCTGCAAGGTGGCCAAGCTAGGCATTTGCCCCAGCCCCACCCCCCCCATATTAACGATGGGGAAATGGAGGCTCCCGAAGCTTGCTTGTCTTGCTCATAGTCCCCTCCTGATTGGCTGACAGTGGGCTAGATGGACCCCTGGCACCTTGAGGGTGGAGTCAGGCAGGCAGGGCTCAGGGCACTGGTGTCTGATGGACACTAATCTCTCTGAATGAGTTGGGGTTGGTTCTAAGCGACACTGGCTTCTATCTTTCCCCAACCTGTAAGCAGCCTGGGATTTGATCAGAGTTGATTATGACTCTTTCCCCAGGGGTGATGTTTGTGGGAGGGGCAATGTTTATGGGAATGAAAGCAAAGAATGACAAAGAGGTTTAGGGAAAACCTGATACCAGCTGGTCCTCAAGATCTGGGGAGGAGGTGGTTTCCATGCTTTCCCCCACCCCACCGTTCTGGGCTCCCAGAGTCATCTACTCATCTCCTCCTCCTCTACATACTCATATTCACCCCTCACACTCCAGTGGCCCGAGCTCAGTCCCTTCAAGGGAGGCTGGTCTAGTTGTGTCCCTCCCCAGGGGGAAAGGGAACTGGGACTTCCTGAAGGGTCTCTGCCACATCCTTCCTATCTGAAATTATCTCACTCATTCATTTACTGGGCATTGCCTTTCTCTCCCACTGGATTGCAAGCTCCCTGAGGACAGGTATCTTATCCATCTTGTTCACTGCATGTCTCTAGCCCCCAGCACAGTGTTTGGCACATGGTAGGTGCTCATAAATATGGGTGAATAAATAGCTAAGGCTCAGAGTCCCTCTTTTCAAGATAAGAAATGCAGAATCTGGACTTGGACATGAATACATTCAGCAGAAGGCAGGGAGGTAGGACAAAGGCCTGGAGAACGTGTACAGTCCTAAGATGGGAGAGTTTATAAGAGATGGGTCCTGCTAGTCAGAGTATCAGGAAATAGCCACTGCTGCATAACGACCTTCCCCAAAATTTAGTAGCTTAAAACAGTCATTTAGTTTGCTCACAATTTTGTACTTTGGGAAGGGTTTGATGGGTATAGCTTGTCTCTGCTCTTTTTTTTTTTTTTTTGAGATGGAGTTTTGCTCTTGTTGCCCAGGCTGGAGTGCAATGGCGTGATCTTGGCTCACCGCAAACCTCTGCCTCCTGGGTTCAAGCAATTCTCCTGCCTCAGCCTCCCGAGTAGCTGGGATTACAGACATGAGCCACCACGCCCGGCTAATTTTGTATTTTTAGTAGAGACGGGGTTTCTCCATGTTGCTCAGGCTGGTGTTGAACTCCTGACCTCAGGTAATCCGCCCGCCTTGGCCTCCCAAAGTGCTAGGATTACAGGCATGAGCCACCGTGCCCGGCCGAAACAATGACATTTTAATTTCCCTAAAAAGAAGTCACTTCTTTGGTTGGCACAAAACTTGGAGCTATTATTTCTTTTAAGTTTCTATAATTCTTGTTTTATAAGCAATTTGGTATTTTCATACAACATAAACTTACATGATGTATTGTTGCGTAGGACTGGGAATGTGACTTGAAGGAGAACCAGTGCAACTCACACAAGTTTGTAATGATGGAGAGAAACACTGCTAAAATCAAATTGGAACAGAGGTTTTAAAACTGCCACTTTTCTCAGAAAGCAGATCATTGGTTTCCTAGCGAGGGGCAGGGATGGTGGGGAGGGAGACTGGGGTACAAAAGATCATTAGGAAATTGTTTTGAGGGTGGGAACTGTTTGATATCTTGATTATGGTTGTGGCTACAGGATTGTACACAATTACCAAAATTAATCTAACCCTATACTTTAAAGTTGGTGAATTTTATTACATATAAGTAATATTTGAAGAAATGAAAAAGGAGGGAAAACTGTTAGTTAGAATCAGATGTACTGTGACAAAATATATCCCCCAAAAGATTTTTGTTGGTGACCATTAATGTTCCTAAATATTTCCTAAATATTTCAAGGGACATAGACTTTTAGGTATTCCTTTCTTACCTTCCCAGTCTTCTTGATGGAAGAAGCCATTGAGGATGCTGGTGTTAAATCAATGCACTTTAGAGAGGATGATTTCTGTGAGCCGTTGTCATTCTGTGTAAGCAGAAAGCAGTGTACAATTGTAGCACCAATTGTTTATTAACCAAATACTTGAGATACCTGTTGCACAGGGAAGTGAGTCCTTACTACTGAGTCACTGGCTGCACCATGGTGAAGAGCTCTCACCATCCTAAAGCAATCAGGGAACCCAAAATTCACTTCAATAAGCAAAGGTACCCTTTTCTCTTTTGGGAATGAGAGCTATATGGTGATTGAGGGGCTTCCCAGCATGCCAGAAAGTCCTAGAATGTGAGTGCTCAATACTATAAACACAAATCCTAAATTTGAGCTCTTCTCTTTGCTTCGACCTGTGCTTTGTTATTGAAAACTATAATGCTACGTCCAGGAAAGGACCAAAAAGGTTTTGACTGGAACTAAGATGCAAATGAGACAGCAGGAATAACTACATTTATGGAAACTGTCTCTAGATTTTGCATAGACAAAATCAGTACTTCATAATTCAGGATTTTAAAATCTGCCCTTTTCTTTCTAAAACAAGCCAAGTGTGTATTACATGTACCCTTCCTCTTCCTAACACACTTACAGATTCTCTTACTCATCCATGCCAGTACCTAAAGTAATTAGAATTGGGCCAAAGGACTCCAGCAGTATCAATCCATTGTATTAGCACCAAAACATGAACAGTGACAGGCTCCAGAGATTATCTACTCATTCTCCCAGACCTACTCCAAAATCAGGGATAACTGCCCATGTAAGGTACTCAGGGCTCAAAGGAAAATAAGATGCCATTGCTTCTGTTGACAATCCATTTCTGTATCGAATAACTCCCAAATCTGAAGATTGACATTAGTTAGAATCTCTCCTATTCAAATTTCAGCTCAGTACTTGTTTTGTCACTATCTGGGATGTCCATAGAAAAGAACACTAAATATCATTCAGCTACCACAACTAGGTAACCACAATGTGCACACAGACATTTAAAAATGTTAACAAGAGATGAAACTAAATTCTAAGTATGTTTAAATTAAAGGTTTTATATTAAAATGGTAGTGGGAGAATGTGTTACAGGCTGATATGGTGTGGCTGTGTCCCCATTCAAATCTCATCTTGAACTGTAATCCCCATAATCCCCACGTGTTGTGGGAGGAACCTGGTAGGAGGTAATTGAATCATGGGGGTGAATTCCCCAGTGCTGTTCTCGTGATAGTGAGTGAGATCTCACGAGATCTGATGGCTTTATAAGCATCTGGAATTTCCCCTGCTGGCACTCATTCTGTCTCCTGCCACCCTGTGAAGAGGTGCCTTCTGCCATAATCGTAAGTTTCCTGAGGCTTCCTCAGCCATGCAAAACTGTGAGTCAATTAAACCTCTTTCCTTTATAAATTACACAGTCTCGGGTATTTCGTTATAGCAACGTGAGAACGGACTAATACACAGGCATAAAAATGCAATATTTTTCTAGTAAGTCTATTGTCTGTGGTCTCTAATATATAGTTCATAAATTATTGAGAAGGGAGTGAAATCTTTTATTGTTTTGTTATCTAAGCACTTTAACTAGTGCGACTGAACTTTTTTTTGGCCTGCTAGGACAGAGAAGAAACTGGTCCACAGCAGCTATGGTTTTGTGTCACAAAACTGTTTACTTTGAACTCCACTTTCAAATAATGGTAGCTATTTTTATGAGTAAATCATGAAGTATTTCTCAAGAGCAATCAAGGGCTAGGTGCAATGGCTCAAGCCTATAATCCTAGCATTTTGGGAGGCTGAGGCAGGAGGATCCATTGAGCTCAGGAGTTCAAGACCAGCCTGGACAGCATAGTGAGAACTTGTCTCAAAAAAAAAAAAAAAAAAATTAAAAAGAGCACTCAAAAATTATTTATGCAACAGATACAATTTTTGTTTCAAACTAGAGCTTAGATTTCTAGAAATTACAGCAAAACTAGATATGCCAACACCGCAAGTCAGTAAAAATTTGAAATTTTCTACAAAACTGAAGTTATAATACCATACCAGTTTCAAGCCTTCTTCCCAAGATTGACTTATCTGTATCTCAGTTTGTATTTTCCTACAAAAGAAATAAAAACTGCAGTTTGCCTATCTGAAAGAAAAGATATAATACACAAATTATGAGAATAGTAATTCAAAGTACAGTACTCACCATTCATACATTGTTTCTCTAGTTATTAAATTCATGGCTTCTTCCTGTAAAGGTAGGAAAATGAGAATAAACTGAATACCCATTCCTATGGTTTTATAAAATTTGATTTCATTTGGATGCACCATTATTTTTATTCACTGGGCTATAGAAGAACTAGAGAATAAACAAATCTCTAAACAAGTATCTGGTTCTCTACCCTTTATTGCGTCACAAATTATCACACCAAAGATCTATTACTTGTGCATTACAGTACATCAGATATGCAGGAACTGATTAGATGAAAACTTTGTATTTTTCTTTTTTCTATTTATTTATTTATTTTTTTTTTTTGAGATGGAGTCTCGCTCTGTCACCCAGGCTGGAGTGCAATGGCATGATTTCTGCTCACTGCCAGCTCCGCCTCCTGGGTTCACGCCATTATCCTGCCTCAGTCTCCCAAGTAGCTGGGACTACAGGCGCCCGCCACCACGCCGGGCTAATTTTTTGTATTTTTAGTAGAGACAGGGTTTCACCGTGTTAGCCAGGATGGTCTTGATCTCCTGACCTCGTGATCCACCCGCCTCGGCCTTCCAAAGTGCTGGGATTACAGGCGTGAGCCACCACGCCCAGTCAAAACTTTGTACTTTTCTTTATTCAAAAGCAAAAACATTAAGCATTCAAAATTTACAGCTTTCTCTGAACTTTTTAAAGGTCTACTAGGACAGAGAAGAAACTAGTCCACAATAGCTATGGATAGCCATTAATACAATGATATTAATAAAAATTACTCACAGTACACAGACAACAAATTAAATGCCTATCAGGATAAGTTTGCTTAAGTAAATGATGAGACAAACATAATTTAAATCTAGTCGTTGACATCAAAAAACAACTATTACATATTAAATGGGAGACAAATGGATCCTATTTATATAAAATTGTAACAGAGGTGCTCAGAAAGATGTTCACCAGAAACTTAACAGTGGTTATCAGTGAGTAGTGAGATCTGCAGTAACGTGTTCTTTCTTCCTTTGCACATTACTATATTATTTGACTTTTTATTAATATGCAAGTATCATTTTCACATAAGTAGTTTTGGTTTTTTTAAATAACCCACCTATAGAAAGACATCCATGTTCATGGATTGGGACAATGTTTAGATGACAATTCTACCCAAAATGATCTACAGATGCAATGCGACCCTTACCAAAGTCCCTATCACGTTTTATACAGAAACAGAAAAATCCATCTGAAAATTCATATGGAATGTCAAAGGACCCCAAATAGCCAAAGCAATCTTTGAAAAGAAGAACAAAGCCGGAGGACTCATACTTCCTGATTTCAAAACTTCCTACAAAACTACATAGTCAAAACAGTGTAGTTCTGGCATAAGAACAGATGCATACCAGCACTTTGTGAGTCCGAGGTGGGCGGATCACCTGAGGTCGGGAGTTTGAGACCAGCCTGGCCAACACGGTGAAACCTCGTCTCTACCAAAACTACAAAATGTAGCTGGGTGTGCTGGCACACGCCTGTAATCCCAGCTACTCAGGGGGCTGAGGCACAAGAATTGCTTGAACCCTGGAGGGAAAGGTTGCAGTGAGCTGAAACTGCACCACTGCACTCCAGCCTGAATGACAGAGAGCAAGATTCTGTCTAAAAAAAAATAAAATAAAAATAACATTCATATAGCAATGGAACAGAATAGAGAGCACAGAAATAAGCCCTCACATAATATATGGTCAAATGATTTTCAAAGTGATGTCAAGACCATTCAATGGGGAAAGGACAATCTTTTCAACAAATGAGGTTGAGAAAACTGGAGCTCTACATGCAAAAGAATGAAGTTTAATCCTTTTTTTTACCCTATGTAAAAATTCACTCGAAATGAATTAAAGACTTTAACTTAAAAGATAAAACTCTAAATCTCTTAGAAGACAACATGAGGGTCAATCTTCATGACACTGGATTTCACAATGATTTCTTGGATATGATACCAAAGGCACAGGCAACAAGAGAAAAAAATAGATAAACTGGTCTTCATCAAAATTAAAAAACTTTTTTTTTTTTTTTTAAGATGGAGTCTCACTCTGTTGCCCAGGCTGGAGTGCAATGGCGCAATCTCGGCTCCTACAACCTCCGCCTCCTGTGTTCAAGCAATTCTCCTGTCTCAGCATCCCGAGTAGCTAGGATTACAGGCACACACCACCAGGCCCAGCTAATTTTTATATTTTTAGTAGAGATGGGGTTTCATCATGTTGGTCAGGATGGTCTTGAACTCCTGACCTCGTGATCCGCCTGCCTTGGCCTCCCAAAGTGCTGAGATTACAGGCGTGAGCCACTGCGCCTGGCCAAATTAATGTTTTTTATTTTATTTATTTATTTTTTTGAGACAGAGTTTTGCTCCTATTGCCCAGGCTGGAGTGCAATGGCACGATCTCAGCTCACTGCAACTTCCACCTCCTGGGTTCAGCGCATTCTCCCGCCTCCAGCCTCCTGAACAGCTGGGATTACAGGCACCTGCCACCACACCCGCTAATTTTTGTATTTTAAGTAGGGACGGGGTTTCACCATGTTGGCCAGGCTGGTTTTGAACTCCCGCCTCCAGCCTCCCAAAGTGCTGGGATTACAGGTGTGAAGCACCTGCACTCGTTTTTTTTTTTTTTTTTTGAGGTGGAGTCTCCCTCTGTTGCCTAGGCTGGAATGCAGTGCGCCCATCTCGGCTCACTGCAAGCCCCACTCCTGGTTCCGCCATTCTCCTGCCTCAGCCTCCCGAGTGGCTGGGACTACAGGTGTCCACCACCACGCCTGGCTAATTTTTTGTATTTTTAGTAGAGACGGGGTTTCACCATGTTAGCCAGGATGGTCTCGATCTCCTGACTTAGTGATCCGCCTGCCTCAGCCTCCGAAAATGCTGGGATTGCAGGGGTGAGCCACCGCACCCAGCAAAATTAAAAAAACTTTTGTGCATCAAATGACACTATCAAAAGTGTGAAAAGACAACTGGAGAATTGGATAATATGCTTGCAAATCATATATCTGAAAAGGAATGAATATCCAAAATATATACAAAACTCCTACAACACAGTGACAACAAAAACCAACCCAATTAAAATATGAGTAAAGAGACTGAATGTTTCTCCAAAGAATACCTACAAATGACCAAAAAGTACACGAAAAGATGCTCAACATCATTTGTCATTATGGAAATGCAAACCAAAACCACAATGAGATGCCACTTTCCCCCCATTAGGATAGTTATTTATTTATTTATTTATTTATTTTTTGAGACAAGATCTCACTCTGTCACACAGGCTGGAGTGCAGTGATGCAATCTCAGCTCACTGAAACCTCTGCCTCTCAGATTTAAGTAATTCTTGTGTCTCAGTTTCCTAAGTAACTGGGTTTTTAAAATTATTTATTTATTTATTTATTTATTTTTGTGACAGAGTCTCACTTTGTTGCCCAGGCTGGGGTGCAGTGGCACAATCTTGTCTCAGTACAACCTCTGCCTCCCAGGTTCAAGCAATTCTACTGCCTCAGCCTCTTGAGTAGCTGGAATTACAGGTGCATGCCACCACACTCAGTTAATTTTTGTATTTTTAGTAGAGATGGGGTTTCACCATGCTGGCCAGATGGTCTCGAACTCTTGACCTCAGATGATCCACCCACCTCGGCCTCCCAAAGTGCTGGGATTACAGGCCACTGCACCGGGCCAAATTTTTAAATTTTCTAAAAACATCATTTCATTCTTATCTCATCCTTTTTTTATATTTCTACTTTATATATATATTCTATGATTCACATGATATATAATAGTAAAGTGGTATATGTCCAAAATGTATAAGTAAATGCAGTATACTTATGTTGCAGGCATGTGCTCAAACATTTTCTCCTGATGTGATATGTGATCGAAAGAGTTTAAAGATTGTTGTCTATAGTATAAATAATACATGTTTGGGGTAGTCCATAATAGAGGAGTGGTGTGAGTTGTGTGAAAGAATTAAAATTTGGCCACGCACGGTGGCTCATGCCTGTAATCCCAGAACTTTGGGAGGCCAAGGCAGGAGGAATCCTTGAGCTCACGAGTTTGAGATCAGCCTGGGTAATATAACAAGACCTCATTTCTACTAAAAGAAAAAAAAAATTAGCCGGGCACATATGGTACTCATGTCAGTAGACCTAGCTACTCAGGAGGCTGAAGTGGGAGGATCTCTTGAGCCTGGGAGATTGAGGCTGCAGTGAGCCACAATTGTGCCACTGCACTCCAGCCTGGAATAATATGAGACTCTGTCTCAATAAACAAATATATACATACATAAAGATTTGACCTAGTCCTTCAAAGATGTATAAAATATGAACAAGCAGTGAGTAGAGGGAAGGGTATTCCAAGCAGAAGAACCCATATGAACAAAAGTTTAGGAGAGGGAAAAAAATACAACAGATTTAGAGATAGTGAGACTACCTTGGCTGAAACTGAGTTTGTGCTACAAAGTAATAAGACAGAAAACAGGAGAGGTAAGACAGGGCCAGATTTACAGGTTCTTAAATAATCAAAGAGTTTGAATTTAAAGAATTTGGCCAGAATCACGTTGTTGTCAGGACCACAGGCTTTGGAGACAAACAGAACTGAGTCAAATCCCAGCTCTATAACCTACTACCTGTGCAAACTTAGGCAGGTGATGTCACCTGAGCATCAGTTTCTTCATCCATATGAAGATGACCATAAGAATGAGGATGATGAGGTGGCTGTACAGTTCTCACCACACTGCCTGGCAAACAGTTCAGTGCTTAAGACATATTAGCTATTTTTACTATTATTCAATAGGTAATGGGAAGCCATTGTGACATTTTGTATGGGGGGAAGTGAAAATGATATTTAAAAAAAAAAAAAAAAAAAAAGTTGGCCAGGTGCAGTGGCTCATGCCTGTAATCCCAGCACTTTGGGAGGCTGAGGTGGGTGGATCACGAGGTCAGGAGATTGAGACCATCCTGGCTAACATGGTGAAACCCCGTTTCTACTAAAAATACAAAAAGTAGCCGGACGTGGTGGCGAGTGCCTGTA